CGTTGATCTTTTTTTTTTTACTTTTTTCTAAATGAGAAAAGCGACTTCAGTGTCTGCTTATATTCGTTAAATAATACAGTGATGGGTGAAACAAAGGTCAACATCTTCATTACGAATACAAACATACATTCACGTCAAGAGTCATCTTCTCATTACTGCTACATAGTAAAAAAATGGAAGTTAAACTAGAGATGTTTAAATCATACGTTTTTTGTGTTCTCATTCAACGTAAAATTCCATCTAAGTCGGTTTGATTAAAATTTACTGCGTTTCAACGACGGTTTTATATGTTATGCATAATTCATCACAACCACAGTTTCAGCTGGACAAAGCGTTGACTATCGAAATTACAGAAGGCTTGATCACCATATAATATAGCATTTGCTGTGGTGTGTAAATTGTCCACTCAACACTGATGACGTCTCTATCGTGGAATTAAAGTGCTCGTGGTCGGGAAATAGCTGGAACTTTTTTATTTGGCTCTTAAGTGTGAATGTAAGCCTCTGTCCATGGCGTCAGCTCTGCGGGACAGGGTAATACTTACGTCAGAGTCCAGGACGGAGTCCAGAGCTGCCGCTAAGATTGGACTTGCCAGTACGCCAAATTTATATGAGTGACCTCTCTAGCTGTGAGAAACGTAGTTTCATGAGCTGCTTTGGTGGCTGTCTGTTTCTTCTCAGAAACTTTCTGTTTAAATATTTCTCGCGTTTGCTTCTCAAGTGGCAATCAGGCGCCATCCAACAAATCCCTCTTCAGAACAAAAAAAAAAAAAAAGCACGAAAAGCTGAAGTGTCGAATATCATCAGCTCTTTAAGAACGGTTTCTGTCTTTACTTGAGGCATTGAAAGCCCTATGTCATGAACTTCCAAAAGTTGAAGACAGCTACGTAGGTACTGTATACATGATCATGACCAATTAATACGAGATGAGAATATCAATGTGCCATTAATGAGCTTTTCTGTAATGATGTATTTACAGAAGATTTTTCATCATGTCAGATCTATAAAGCAACACTATCTTCAAAATATAATAATGACATACTGAATGAACGCATACAAAAGTAGTTCCGTATAGTTTTCTAATACACAATCAAAACTACATTTGTGTCGGAGTAAACTTAATTGAAGCGTCATGTTATTCAGGAGAAAAGATGATATTTTAAAGTTTGTATTTTAAAGTACGTTTTTGTTTTGTATACTTCGCGTTTACCTTGACTTAATATTTTAATTTTTTCAATTGTTCTGTAACTTTTATTTGTATACATTTTGTTTTTATCACGTTTTTATGTCTTAGATTTCTTAATGTATCATATCTTTTCTTTTGTGTCACTATGCGTCAAGTTTTCCGTGTCATTGTGTCTGACGAAACTTCAATTTTATCATGATGAGGTCTTTTTACAATTTTTCTATATTTACCAGAGCTTTTTATCGTATATATATATTCCACGTATTAGTTTATCGTATAGTTTGTATTTTAATAATATTGAAATATTCGCATCACTATAAATTTATCATTATAAATTTTATCTTACCCACTACTCGATTTAATGCGACAATTTTTTTTTTACATTTAACATAGCTTTGAGCCATAGATTCTTCATCTTTACCAAGCCTTTTTATCACATACTCATTTACATTCTTGCATACACTATTCATATATATATTTGAACATAGAATATGATCAGGCTGTCATGTGTTATAATACTTATGGGGACAGTACTACAAATAAGTGAATGAATACATATGTCTGGTTCGCATTTTCATTGATCCTTGTCATCACTCAGGAGCATCATTTGGTGTGGATTTGAAAAGGGTGATCGCTCTCCGCAAGCTCGGGAGGAAACCCCAAATGATAGCTCCTGTGAAATATTTCTAGCTAAGTCGGTTTAACACTTATAAGTTACGCCTTAGCGTACGACCTCCAGCTGAAATGTGGGTCCACACGAGGTCAGCCTTCTTCCCACTCTCCCAAAGTTTTGGGAGAAATGATGCTTCTGTCATCACCTATAATTACACAAAATGTTAGGTTTCTAGCTCAGTTAATTTAAAATGACTGGAATTGAAATTATTTTTCATAACTTAATTCCAACAACTCACAATACTGGTAAGTCAAATTATTTTCACAAGACACACCTCCATTAACGTTTTTAACCAAATACGCCCCAACTTATACTTCAACAAAGATATTAATCAAATACGTCAAGAAAGATAAAAAAAAGTACTGAGTTCCATTTTTCAAGTAAAATTTTTTAAATGATTTACGAACCATACTTCCAGAAAACGTAAGATAAGCTATAAGTCACACTTTAGACTGAGATAAAAATTCACGAAACACATTTTCAAGCATATTCTATTCAATGAGTCACATTTTCAGGCTGGAATTTGGTAAACAAGTCTAGCTGCATAGTATCAAAATAATATACATAATGATAGCATACACATATCAGACATATCGTGATTTACATTTTGGGAAGTATTAGTAAAATAAGTCACTATGGAAAAATTCTCAGTCATATTAGTTGTGAGTTACAGTTCCACATCAAAATACTTTGGTCTATTGGTTACCTTCGATATTGCGCAGTTCATAAGCCATACTTGAATACTGGGACATGTTCGTCCATAAATTGATAGAAATATTATGCATTTTCCCGGTCATACTCTAGTTTGGACACAAGGATATCTTAATACGTAATTTACCTCTTTAGTCATGATTTAGGTTCAGAATTCTTGGAATTCTAATTCAGACCTATCGAGGGAACCAAACATTCTGTAGTTTATTCAGTAAATTAGATACTCGATACATTCCAGTTTAGAAAACAAGAGCATTCATGGTTTCTCACGAGTAATGAGGAATTTTCTATACTCATTTTTCTTTTTAGTATTCGTAGGCGTCCTACTTTGAAAGTCGCCTAACAAAAAAGCAATAGATAAACGAGTTAGCTACAAATATTCCTTCAGTTTAAAAGACAATGGGAGTGGTTTGTATTAAGGGCGTGAACTAAAACTACGCATGTCTAATTTCAATCATAATACTTTATCATGAAACAAGATAACTAGTACACTTTTTTTCCGCATGTAAGTAGCCATGTAATCGCTTTGGATCAGAAAAAAAAAAAAGACAAGTACACACAGTTTTTCTATCCGGTTTGCGAAGCTCAAAGTACACAAAAATTACATTATATATTATTAAGCTTACATTCTAGTTCAAGGGTTGGACCAAAATCATGTAAAATGTTATGGTCTAGCTTTGTATTTTTAATTTGTCTGTTTGAAGTTAAGTACAAAGCTACACAATGGGCTATCTGTGCACTGCCCACCACGGGTATTAAAATCCGGTTTCTTGCGTTCCAAGTCCGCAGACGTTCCACTGTGCCACTGGTGGGCGTTTTGGGTCTCTATATATTCTGTATTCTGAACACTGCTATACTCGAAGAATCTGTACCCTACTGATTTCCAATGTTGAATAGTTTTGCATTTTAACAAGCTACAATGTATTAAGTTCAATTAAAATCTTCATTCCATACTGTGATGCTATAAGAAACTCTCATCATGTATTGAAGATAACATCAGGTAATGGGCAACGAACTTCATCCGCGAATAATATTACGCATTAAGTATGACAAAAGTGTTCCGTTTTTTATTCTATGTATTCAAAAAAGGTAGCTTTGTTTTTATCGCCCCTTCTTGCTTCCGCAAAGACGAAAATAATATGCTTCGAGTTATTTTGTTCCTTCAGTGTTTTTAACAGTGTTAATAGTGTTTTCATTAATCTTTATAACTCTAATAAAAATAAATAATCTTTAATTTCAATAGAACTAGATTAGTGCTTGAAATTTGGAGGAATCCTATCCGTATCTTATTTATCATTTACCTGTATTAGTGTTGTCCTTTTTCTTTTTTTCTGAAATCGTCGACAACCCTAACGTTGTGTTTTCTTCTCATTTGCACAGATGTTTTACATACAACAAATCTAAATTAGTTGTTTACAAAACCAGTTCTTCTATGACTTTATTTCAAAAACAGCTAATTTAAAGGTATACAGTGCCTAATTTTTTGTCATAGTTTTTGATTTTCTAACAAACTCAGGCAACTGGCATACAAAACTGTTTGTTGCAAGACTGTCGTGCACAATCTCACTCTATGGCTGGCAAAAATCTTTACTGTACAGCTGTCTTCTACAAAGCTAAATTTATTATTTGAAACGTTTTCTTTCTCAATTTCTCGCTGGAAAGTGTTACCAGTGTTCTACAAATTAGATGTATTCTAAATTATTCTTCATGGAACTAAGATTAGTATTTTATATTCTCCTTTCTTGCGTAATAATTGTCATCGATGTTTTGCAAGTTTAATCGTTCACAAAAAAATAGATAAAACTTATATTTACAACGTTTTTTAAAAAGCTAGGTTAGTGTTTTAAAATATTCATTCTTACTCTAAAATTATCATTAATGTTCTACCGTATATTTTCTTGCCTCATCAAAGCAGAATTTATGTTTTTAAAAGTTCATTCTGCTCTATTAGTGTTTAACTATGCTTTTTGTTCCCACAAATCTATTTTATAATTTTATAATTTAAATACATGTTTTGATATTCACAACAAAGATAACTGCGTTTTTAACGTTGCGTTTTGTTTTTAAGCAGTAAAGGTAGCATCATGTTTTATATTATTTCTCTTAAACATACTGAAATGTTAGCTTATAATGTCCGCTTTTGATTGTCATACCCACCTTTGTCTTCATTACAGAAAAAATTAGCATATTAATAGGCTTGAATATTGCGATGGTAAATTTATAATCTGAACTTAGAGTTAAAGTATAGACTTTCAAAGAGTGATTTTCGTTTTTACACTTTTTAACGACTATAAAAAAGTTATATTGAATGCTCTTTCATCAAAGTAAAAAGATAAAATAATTGTTTTGCCTTTGCTTGCAGTAAAATAATTGATTTATCATATTGAACACAGCTCTAAATTTTCTTCTACAATGAGAGAATTAAACTTACGGGTGGCTCTCCGGCCGATTGGTTGGTTTAATGATCCAATCCCCTGTATTCCGTATTGAAAGCCGCTGTTAGCGGTGGCCCCGGTGGCAGTGTCGTAGCTGATCCACCCTGCAGTAAGTTCTGGGCTGAGATAAGGGGAGTAGGTTGGCCAAGGCAGGCTGGTAGCTTGGCCGTGTTGTGACGAGAAGGCGGCTAATCTTTGTCCAAACTTCGCTGCATAGTCTTCTGGGTTCTGAGGCCATAAGTTAGCGGCTGAAGAACAAGGAACTGCTTGAGCTTGTCCGGCGGAATCTTGGAACTGAAATGGGTATAACTTGGTATGTTGCGATGTGGGCAAGTATAGAGCGGCTGTAGAAGAGACTCCTGTCAGGGCAACAGTTGATGTTTCTAGGTTTGATGTGTTGAAATGATACTGAGAATTTAGATCTCCCTCTCGCATGTTTGCACCAGGAAAGAATCCTAAGGTGGCCAGAGGGGTGGACACCACTGTACTGCGTCCTGAGCACACATCGGAATCTGATTGTGCTGATGATTGGTAGCTCGTTGAAATCGACTGGTTGTCGGATTTGTAGTTGGATGAGAATGCGTTATTTGTTCTCGGACTAGCAGAAAGCTCTCGGTGATTAGAGAAATTTTCGGCTTCAGTCTTAACAATTGCTCTTTCTTCTTCATCATGCTGGGTCTGTGAGCCTTCAGTATTGTTACCGTTAAGGCGCCAAGGTCCCACTTTCCTATCGGCCATATCTTGCAGTAGTTGAGAGCTGTTGCAGCTTTCGTTTTCCACTACTATCTGATGTCTGAAAGAAACAATCAGGAGAAAATCATGGATTTATCTAAACAGATATTTTATCTACGCTATTGTTTACCAACATATACGACCGCCGATAGGATACCTCAGAATTTCGTTTATGTGGGAAACATGAACATTTTTGTTAAGTAATAAATTATATTCATAAAGGAATTTCTATTCCTCAGTAAACATTCCAAGTTTCTTGCTTATTTGCATGATAAATTACTATGGAACAAATTCAAATGTTTTCATACTAAGTTGAAAAGAATCACTTTTCGAAAAAAAAATGCTAAAACGGATCACTTGAGAGATAACAAAGATTAGGTACTTATCCAAAATACAGTAGAGAATAAGCTACTGGACAAATAAAGACCAATAATCTACTGATAGAAAATCGGTTACGATTAGCGTTTTACTTGTAGATATCAACAGTACGTAAGAGCCACTGGGCTTATTTATTGTTTAATATCTTAAGCACTTATAAAACAAAACATCCTGGGTCTGATGTATAAGAAAAGTTTTAAAAGTGGATGAAAGTTCGAAAGAGCTAAATAAAGTTTACTTATTCTGCTTCACCATTTTCTTGCAGCACACAAAGTATTTCACTGTTCTATATACAGAGAACCTTTAAACAAAGAACTTATGAAAGATTCCACAGAAAAGTACAGTTTCATCATCTCACGAACAAATAAAAACTCTTTGAAGTATATTTTTTATATAACGAAAATAAAAGTGAAGTGAATTTAGGAGTGATATTATATTTACTATACGTTTTTCCGCCTAAACCTGGTGTAATTTTATGTAAACATTGCGAAAAGCTTTAAGTAATTACTTCACTGAGTAGTCAGTAATCTAACCTAAATAAAAGCCAGTGTGCGTCACGTCACGCTTGATTTCTCAAAATAGGAGGAGTCATAAAAGCCAAAATGCATTTATCCAGATAGAACAGTTCGATTACTGTCTGCCATTACGATTTTAGTGACGAGGGTGCAAGGGGACCGTGAGGGTGTGTGTGCCGTGAAACCTTATAAGTGTAGTGAGTGTTGGTATGTTAAGCCTAAAGTAAAGACGTAGTGTGGGTTCACCTAGCCTAGAGCCAAGTGCATAAAATTTATCATGAAAGTAAAAATATGGATTCAATCTTAAACTTAAATCGTTTCTGAATTAAGATATTTTCTGTTTTATTACCAACGTTTTTAATAAAAAACAAACCTCTTTAATCAACGAAGGCTCTAAATTAAGAAATCGACAAATGTTTTTACACTTTTGTTCTCTATACATTTCATTTTATACTTTCAGTTTCAGTACATAGACTAGCAACAATATTAGGTTATACTTTTGTTGCTAAGCAACATGACATAAAAGCCATTGATGGAACGTTGTGTTACCAAAAAGCACTGGCTTTTCTATCTTTGTTATCTTATTAATCTGGATTTGGAAATATGCTGCCAAGTTTTTTTCTTTCATATTTATTACTATGACTTCTGGAATTATAGGGCATATAATAGCAATCCACTAGTAAGCAGGCAAAATCGACATAACCTATTTTTTAATCATATCTCTGTCCTACTGTTTCTAGTGTTTTTGACATTTTAACTATAGCTTCATGCTTCTGAAATAAATGAAGCATACAAACTTGAATGTTATTAGAATTATAGTAAAGACCTCAGAAACAGAAATTATTCAAAGTAATGAAATTTATCATCGTGAAAGCTTGCTCAGAATCTCTAATCGAGTAAGTGACGTTACATTCGTATCATTTCACGTTTTGTTTATATTTAATTTTTACAGTTTTATCATCTCATTTGTATAAAATAATTCACAATATAAATCAATATAACTTCAAAAAAGCAGCAGCTGCAATTACTTTAAACAGTAAACGCATCTGTTCAAAAATCTCTGGTTATAACAAGCGCTACAAAAAATTAACATATCTGCTCAAAAAAGATGTGTTCACAAAAGTCGTTTACAACAAGAAACAACACAACTCAAGGAAGCAGGGCTACAACAACTATGAACAATAAATATGTCTCTCTCTTCTATAATGAGTAAGTAAAAAAAATCATTTAAACTGTTAACACGACTATTCAGAAAATGATGACTGCAGAAATTGTTTATAATAAGAAAGAATACAACTGAAGGAAGCAGTAGCCACAACAACTGCAAACAGTAAACGTATCTGTTCAAAAGTCAGTAAGTACAACAATCATATAAACTGTTAACACAACAGTTCAGAAAGCAATGAATACATAAACCGTTTATATCAGGAAGAGACAAATTAGTGTGGTTTGACCTTTAGATTTATAGATAAATTAATGTGGTTTGACCTTTAGATTTATAGATAGGTTAGTGTGGTTTGACCTTTAGATTTATAGATAGATTAGTGTGGTTTGACCTTTAGATTTCAATTATTTCATTTCACTGGTTTTTGGACAGACTAATAATTTCTTATGAGTGACTCGTGAAAATAGTTTCATAACTTGGAACCACACAACGCGACAACACACAGATTTGTTAATATTCAGGAAATATTGTATGTTATTATATACTGAGCAAGCTTATTTTAAATATTATATACGAATATCAGTTTAATGTAAATAACAGTGAAAGTATATTTACTTATTATTAAGGCAAATAAGGAAGCCTTTCATGGGTATTGATATTGTTTTAGACATATTCTCTTGAATAAGATGTTGCATGCCATAGGCATTCTTTTAGATGTGAGTTGGACGATTTGTCAAGTTTCCAAAGTTGTTTAAATTATTTTATTCATTTAAGTAACAAGAAGGAGATTGAGAGGGTTTAAACACGAAGAATTTGAATACATCTTTAGTTAGTAAACCAGTCATGATCAATGATTAAAAAATCAAAATACTTAAGTCGTTTATGATTGTCCAATCAACTAACGACTGTCATAAGCAGATCAGATAAACCGTTGCGTTATCAGTAAATGCCTTACCCTTCTCTACTAAAGTGGCTTTCTTCATACCGCTATATTCAATAGTGAATTATTTCGTTTCTATAGGATTCAATGGCTCTAATACTTGCACACTTTTAGAAATACTACTCTATATCATATTCTACTAAGCACATAACAAGTATTTAAATATGTATTCTAAAATGTAATCTACAGTGAATAGTACCAGCGATACTTTAAGATGATGTAAGGTTTATATATTCTGCCAAAACCATGTATCAAAATCATCTTTTTAAATTTGGACTTGTACTTTAACCTGTCTCTTTGGTCATCTACCTGTAACCATCCCTTCTTCCCCCACTATCCAGTAACCCTTCCCACTGTTCACCAGTTTTACACTCGTAATCTTCCAACTTTAAGTAGTTCTACACTATCAACTTTTCTCACTGCTCACCAACTCTGCACTCTTAATATTTTAAACTTTAAGTATATCTAAACTCGTAACCATTCCATTGCTCATAAACCTTTAACTTGTAACTGTCTAATTACTCACGATCTATACACTGATAAGCTTCGCACTGTTTGGGTTCTAAACTTTTAACCATCCCACTATTTAGTAGTTTTACATCTCAATGTCTAACAGCTCTACGTCTGTAATCTTCTTACCGTTCATAAACACTGTTCACGAGACTTACATTCTTAATAATTTCACTTTTACACTCGCATCCTTCCCATCATTCGTGAAACAAACATTTAAAATATTTTCATAGATAATTAGTTATGCACTCGTAAGCTTAAAAATGCTCACCAATTGTACACATGCAATTTTCTACTGTTTCTCTGGCTGTATACTGGTCACCATTCCATCCTTCATCAGCTCGCATGTAACAAGCACCATACTTGTACAGTTCTTAACATTACAAGACATTAAATCGTAACCATATCACTTTTATATAGTTTTCCCTCACAACCTTCCCAACGCTCAGTATCTGCGCCTTTTAACCTTCCTTCTGCTCTCTAGTTGTTCATCTCTGACAGTAACATAATCATATTTGGCCACCCGCCTTTTTTTATAGTTGCCTAAAAATGTTCGAGACATATTTTGTAACAGTAACATAAACATATTTTGACATCCTCGTTTGTTACAGTAATATTAAGATGTTAAGCTATTCATGTTTCATGCTGTAACATAAATGTATTTGAATTCTTACGTTTCTAACCAAAATGTAAAAATGTAGAGGTACTTTTGCTACCAAGAGTAGCTTTAAACTTTGAGGAACTCCTACATCCCATACGAACATTGATATGGTTAAAAGCCCTGTTTCTCACATTAAAATGAAAAGGTTGAACACTCAGGTTTCTCATATTAAAATTAAAATGGTTGGACTCTCATGTTTATCGTATATATATTCATATGGTTGGACAGTTATTTTCGAAAAAATATGAGTCTTTTCTATTAACATATGTATAAAACTTAACGAACTGGAAGTGTGCATATAAAAGTGACTTACCTGCGGTAGACGTTTAGGAATTGTTACATTGGAGTTTCACACACATACATCATGAAATATTTATCATTAGGCTAGTTTCATGAAAAATATAACCTCCAAACCTTAACTACCACAACGATGTACGATCGATAACGTGTTATTTCTAGTATTTAACCAATGGGCGTAGCAGAGAGTTATTTCAGAGCTTCTGAGGAAAGCTGAGAATTGTTGCCACATGTAGGACTGGTTTAAGTTGTAACAATACATAAACTGGTAATTATTTAATTTGTTAAAAAAATATTGTTCAGTAGCATAAGCTAGGGTAAATTACAACCGTTCAGAGATTTGCAACAGCCACTCAGCTTAGGGAAGTGTGGCAAGGCAGCCCGGAAGTCAGGCATCTACTTCCTTTGTCTTGGCCTTAGAAAGGAAGCGGGGGGACGACGCTAAGTTCTGGACATCCAGTGGATCAGAGACATTAGAAAAAATAACAAAAAATAAGCAAACTGTTTCGAACAATACATAATATTTAAGTGACAACTAAGGATGCATATGTAACAAACAAATTCCAGTAAATAGTAGCAAAGAAAAAAGCATAGCAATGTTCAGAAAATATTTACATCTACAAATAAAATGGAAACAAGAGTATCTTATTATCATAGAACAAACCTGTGCAAAAGGAAATTCATTAAAAGCTCTAAGTACTTCTGAACGATGTACTATTCGAAGCATATTCTAAAGAAAAGTGTATAAAATAGTAAATCAAAATTAAAATTGAAAAATAATGAGGTAACTGCATAATAGTAAAAACAAAACAATTTTGCAAAAAATCAATCGCCACAACGATGACTATAAACGATATACGTGACTACTAAAAAAAACCCACTAATGATTACAACAATAAATAATTCTGCTTAAAAAAGCAGTGTACAATAATCATTACTAACATTAAATAATGCTCCATAAGTTATATTAATTAATCTCGCTCGGTCAATTAGTTTTTAGTCTAGCAATGAATTTTGACGAAATATTAGTTGAAAATCAAACATATAAAACTTAACACATGTCTCATTGTTATTTTTTTAGGACTTTTATAAATATGAATATAAACAATCATTATTACAGAGAATTTAATAGTTTTGGCAAGTTATAGATATGATTATAAATCAATTTACATAAATCGAAAACGTCTAACTTAACTTTTACAACGGTGAAGCAACAACTTTTTGAAATAAAATAATCAAATTAAAAAGATTCTTAATCTCAGTTTTCTTTTGCATATTTGGCGGATATAAATGACAAAAGATCTGTTGTTTAAGTTATTCATGTATTCATGTTTAGGCCTAAAACCGATTGCAACTAAGTATTTTAGAACTTTATGTGTGTAGAAACATTGATATAAACAGTTATTGATACAATACTTTGCTCTTGTAGCGTGGTCAGGCATATTATACTGCGTGAATATGTATGGACAGTTTTTCTCAAAGTTGTTAATGAATTTGTATCGAACTTACTGTGAAGGTTTAATGTCACTTAATCAAATATATAGATGGGCAATTTTAAATTTCAGAATTAATGAAAAAACTTCAAATATGCAAATGAATTCAACGTGACAGTATTTCATCTCATGATTTTAAATGTTCAAAATCACGTGGGATGGGTTCAGCCGTGTAATCGAGACACGTTTTCTAGTTTGTTTATGTACACCTTAATGATCAACTTTTATCATCAAGATATACGTACATATAATCGTGCTTATTATTATTACCTGATTAATCATACAACATTTCTACCTGACATGTCTGCCGTATTCAAATACTCCCTTAAAAAAGATGGGTCTTGAGGATGGAATAATTGGGATTTAGTACAGACTTCACTAGGGACGTATTCACTGGCTAGGACTGAACTGTTGACTCACTGTTGATAATGAATACCTATTATACTGAAATTACTTTCATAATTAATGACCATATTTTATTATGTAAACATAGATAACTTGCTAGACACGTTATATATAAAACATATGTGGAAATCTATTTTTTTAATTTTTCGCTTCTTTATATATGTGTAACTTATGACACGTTGAGTTGGTAATATTTCCTCTGACTTAGTGGACAAATGGTGTATGGTAAATAAGATGGAATACGAATAAAGATAAAGTACACATTAAAAGTTAGTACAGAATTAAATCACCACTAATTATGTTTTATAATCAATCTACAACAACAATTTTATTATAAATGTTAGTGATAAAACATGAAAATGTTCTGCTCGGTCCAAAACTCTTTTATCAGTCACCCAATACTAAAATAAAAACAACAAAAACAAGTAACAATAAGTTGAGTTTCATCTACGTTCCAGTCACATAGGGTTTCGTGACATTTCCAGACGTTTTTTTTTTGTATTTCTAATCCACGAAATAAATAACAATCAAAACTACATTGATTAAGTCATCGTTACTCCTGAAAATAATTTTTCTTTAGATAGTTTTTAAGAGATATTCCTCAAATATTTTTTACACAAACTCAAACATTTTATGATGTAAACACAAACAAAAGTATGTTTAAGCGTTAATATATGGAGGTTATGTTTAGAATATACTTGCTGTTTTTACAGTACAGGTTTGTCTGTTTTATGTGCATATGCATCTATAACTCATCAGTTTCTGGGGTAATTTAACGATTGTGGCCTGTTACAGTCATCACTGGATGGGTATGATCTTTAGGATGTACAGGTATCAGCTTATATATATATATATATCAACGCAGAGGTCAGCTGGACTAAGACCTTGACGTAGAAATGCCTTTCAGTGCAATGACGATTGAAATAAACATTGCATGCCAGTGAAGCATAACGTTGCCAATCACAGAGTCATAAAGCTGCTTGTGTTTGTTTCTTTTAGGTTTAATCCTGCTGTTACCCCTTTTAGCTATGCATTTTTACTTTAAAATATTTGAATGTAGCAATAAACACGCAACTTATAGTTAGATTTTTAAATTGGGTATTTTCAGGCATAAATAGAAAATTAATAATTCCTATGATTATATGATATAACACCTTTCACTGAGGCCAGCCGTCATACGGTATAGAATTGAGAAAATTAATAAGTATTTTGTATATAATCGCAAGAAATCGTTTCAAATTCAAACACAACTTTCTTATATACGTTAGAGATAAAAAATGAACATTTTCTGCTCGGTTCAAAACTCCTTTATCAATAAATGAAACATTATGAATATCGTACTGTTACACTTGAACTTGCTTTATAACACAAATATCGTAATGTTACACTTGAACTTGCTTTATAACACAAATATCGGGTGTTATAAAGCAAGTTCAAGTGTAACAGTACGATATTTGTGTTATAAAGCAAGTTCAAGTGTAACAGTACGATATTTGTGTTATAAAGCAAGTTCAAGTACATATTTTGCGTCACTTTCCAATGCCATTTAAATAGCAGTATATATGAGTATTATTCAGTCACTTGTTCGATTTTAAGTAACTGTTTGTTGTAGTTGTTTTCGCTGTACTTTTCTATTATTAGAGCTATCAAGGACGTAGTAGTCGGTCGGAAAACTACACATTATCTTGATCTTACTAAACTAAAAGTTTGGGAAACTAAAATAACTCTAGTTAAGGAAAAACTACGTGGTCTTTAAAAAGTTATTATTTCTCCTATATGTTTGTTAATGCTTTGTTATTTTTCCATAACATTTTCTTTACAGCAACTGAGAGCGAATTTCTGGGAGAGGGTCGAGAATGTGTAAACTGTGGCGCCATCTCTACGCCATTATGGCGAAGAGATGGAACAGGTCATTATTTGTGTAACGCATGTGGACTTTATCACAAAATGAACGGCATCAACCGGCCGTTGATCAAGAACCAGAGACGCCTAGTGAGTACTAAAAGATTTAAGAAATTATTACACGTATAATTGAAATTAGTAAATAACAATAATAATTTATAAATTATTTCTAAAGTGAGGGTTCTCGCAGGGTAAAAGAAAAATTCAATAAATTGTGAGAAGTTTAACTTGGTTTGAATATAAACTACACAACAAACATGTCAAACATATAATTGCTATGCATAGATTAATCTAACTGACTAAACACGTGTGGTTCACATGACCGTCGTAACAACATATTCATTTTTTTTTTTTTATTATATTGAGATATAGACTGGTGTATAAGTTTAAAATCGACAATAAGTGACTGGGGTAGTAAACAACGCTCTAATATAAATATATATTTAGTGCACTTAGTTTATTAGTATAGTGACCAGTACACAATGCATACATATAAATACGCATTGCGTTTATCAGAACAGTGAACAATACACTAGTATAAACATATAAATATGCACTGAGTTTATCAGAACAGTGAACAATAGACTAGTATTCGTGTAAGAAAGTGCACTGAGTTTGTTAATATAATGAACAATAAACTAGTGTACATACATATATATATATAAACGTGCATTTAGTTAATTATTACAGTGTATATGCATAAATGTGTCCTAGTCTATTAGTACAGTGAACTATACACTATTGTACGTATTTAAGAAGTTTCTATTCACTCAAGGTTACACTAATTACTCTACAGTTACGTTGTAAAAACCTAAGCTGTCCTATTTTTCAGTCAGCTTCTCGCCGAGTTGGGCTGGCTTGTTCTAATTGTCGTACAAACACTACCTCCCTCTGGCGACGGAACAGTTCAGGAGAACCTGTATGCAATGCATGTGGACTCTACTACAAACTTCATGGGGTAACCTACTTTAATTATTTTAGTATGTATATTTCATACACACACATATATATAGTTTATTAACAATGAACAAGTTGCTATTAAAAAGAAAGAAAAGGTAATAATCTATTTATAATTATCTTCAAAATAATCTAAGATATTATTTTATGTTATTCGTTTCAAACATTATAAATATATGTGTAAAACAATGACATAAACTTAACCTACTACCATTTAGTCTTTATTATTCTATGTTTAAAGTTTTTATAACTTAAGGTTCCAGACATAGCTATTTTATTTCTGTCAAAGAATTTTCGAAAGTACTTCACGTAAATACAACGCTAGAATCCGGGTTTCGATACCCGTGGTTGGCAGAGCATAGATAGCCCATCGTGCTTTGTGCTTAACTTAAAACAAACAAACTTCATGTAAAATTTATTCTATCCAAAAACTGTACAAAGATTATACATGGGTTAAATATAAAGCGTTATAGCTGCATATGGATCCTTAAATGTTTGTTGGTATGCCATTACTTCTGCGGATTAATATGTAAAAGATTAATTCTGTTCGCGGGTATGTGTATTTTTGTTAATCTAGCACTAAGTCTGCTTTCCAAAGTGTCATAGCATTAAGAGATTAAGAGAACATCATTTATGCTGTTCACGAATTACTGTTGTAATCTTATCACATTGAGCAGAGTGTAACTTAGAAGTTAGTGTGCACGCCTGTGGATCGTAAGGTCTAAGGTTCGCGCCGCGATGCCCCTGAACGAACTCAGCACATTAAGCAGTTCTGTCCAAAGCTAGACAAAACCCTTTAGACGGTAAGGGTTGCTAACTGTTTGCCTTTCTCCTGTAATTCAAAGGTAAGGACAGATGTGCCCGAAACCTAACCGTTCATCCCATATACGCGTAAGTTGTCGTTCAGGTTGAAAATATCAATAGAAATGTCATTTTTTTACTTGTGAATGTGCAAAAGATTATGAAACTAGCTTAATAGTTGTTATTGAATGTACTACATTTACAGTAGTATTTCTGCAAACAGGAGTGTCAAAAATGGCAATGCAACTACATAAACGCTTCTGTTGTAGGCCTTAAATTTTGTTGCCGGTGTAATTTTCATTTCCGGAAATATTATACTAGCTGAACCCACTTGTCTGTTACAGATATCAATTAAAGTACTAGTGCTATTTAAGAATCTATTAGAAACCGTAAAAGCAATTGTTCAACCCAAACAACGGGTAAATAGTTACTTTTTGTGTACATACGTAAAGTATATATATATATATACATGTAGTAAGGTACCTTATTATACGTATGTCTAAAAAAGTGCATACTTAAAACAAGGAACTTCGTGTAAAGATTTACGTGTAAGTCGAGGTAGAGTAATTTGTGTACACGTATACGTGGAGAATATTGCATATACACACAAAGGTACTTCATACATATACACACAAAGGTACTTCACACATATACACACAAAGGTACTTCATACATGCTCGTGTGGTGTAATTTATACACTGAGATACTTCTGTTTACACAGGTGGATGAGAGATGAAATATACACAGCAATATACTTTGTGTACGTGTATAAGTGGAAGATTCGTACTTATAAAATGATACTTTTGTACGCGCGCGTGAAAGATGGTGTTGTTGTTTTTTGTTTTGTTTTTCTGTTACATACTTATAGCAAGATACTTCACGTATTGTATTAGCAGCCATATTCACAACAAAGTGTCTTATGTATGCAGAAAGTGGTAAATTAACAGTAGCATGATTAATTATGTGTATGATAAGATACTATACGGGATATTATATACTTACAGTAAGGACCTGATATTCATGTATGTATAGAAGTATGTTGATATTTTTGTAAGATATTTTATGGGATGTTATATACTTACAGTAAAGTTCCTTGTGTTCATGTATGTATAGAAGTATATTGATATTTTTGTAAGATATTTTATGGGGTGTTACATACTTACAGTAAAATTCCTTGTGTTCATGTATGTATAGAAGTATGTTGATATTTTTGTAAGATATTTTATGGGATGTTATATACTTACAGTAAAGTTCCTTGTGTTCATGTATGTATAGAAGTATGTTGATATTTTTGTAAGATATTTTATGGGGTGTTACATACTTACGGCAAGGTACCTTGTGTTCATCTATGTATAGAAGTCGAGAAATGAACAGTTAGGTACTTCAACGTATTGCAGATGGTATACTTACAGCAAGATACTGTGTGCACACTTAGAATGTGAGAAATACACGGGAAAGTGATTCTTCTACACTTATTTGTGATAGACAGTACATTTACAACAAAGTGATTTGTACATGAGTAGATTGTCATAGATTTACAACAACTTAAATGAGAATATTCTTAATATGTTGCTATAATCTGTCCAAAATTAGTCACTTTATTAAGAAAAGCTTCTGCAGAGTAAATATGTATATAGTTTTCTCCTATGTAAATTCTAACATTATGTTTTATCTTATGATAATTATAATATTATTTTTGTATCCCATGTGAATTCTAACAATATGTTTGTATCCTATGTGAATTCTAACAATATGTTTGTATCCCATGTGAATTCTAACAATATGTTTGTATCCTATGTGAATTCTAACAGTATGTTTGTATCCCATGTGAATTCTACCAATATATTTTTATCCTATGTGGATTCTAACAATATGTTTGTATCCTATGTGAATTCTAACAATATGTTTGTATCCCATGTGAATTCTAACAATATATTTTTATCCTATGTGGATTCTAACAATATGTTTGTATCCTATGTGAATTCTAACAATATGTTTGTATCCTATGTGAATTTCTACTTACATTATTCATAGCTGAAACAAAAGTTGTCGTAGCCTGACACTCAATAGAAATTAACTTTTTACCACTTACACTGAACACAAGTTTTTGTTTGTACGTTTCAGGTGAACCGACCACTGGCTATGAAAAAGGACAGCATTCAAACAAGAAAGCGAAAACCCAAAACCAGTGTTAGTAAACCTGGAGAAGTGTCCTGTATCCCTGCTACCTCTGGTAATTCTATATCCTTCAAGCAAAACGATACTATGGGTAAGTACTCTCGCAATTGCATCAATATATATTGTTAATACTAGAAATAAATGACCAAACAACACCAAAGTGTTGTTTTTATTTAATTAGACACACGACGTTTCGCTCTACAGCTTCTTCAGGAGCATTCACTAAAACACAAACCGAAACTGACAGTATAAAGCTTTGTATATTTCGTTTACTTCTAGTATCAATATATCTTCCATACACCAATATGCAATACAGAAATTAGATAATATATCTTGTTAGTTGATTGTTGAAATGCTTTTCGAATGCATATTTTTAAGCAAAACGATCCTTTAAATAAGTTCTCTTTTTTAATAGATTCTTTAAATATAACTCTATTTCAAGCAAATATTTTCAGATTCACTTTCCCGATGAATTATTCTAGCAAAATTACCCTTATACAGCTACCTTGTTCTTCAACTAATGTAAACTTCTAACGATATGTTACGACAACGGTAGTCACGTGACGCTA